CAATTACGCATCTCTACTTTAGATAGGAACCCAATTCCCATTTCTAGCTCCCTGTGGAAATCGATCCCGACCTTCTCGGGTAAAAGCTACTTCGACCACTCTCGTTACTTTGTAGTAGTGCAGGGTTGGCCTCTATCAGAGATATAAGTTGGTTGAAAGCTGTTGAAGACAACGCTGAACCTTGAGACAAAAGACTGGAGCATTGCAAGTTGTCTATATCTAAACAAACTGGATATGAAGAACCTGGTTGGATAATGCCATAAGTGGACGAATGTTATATTCAAAGAAGAATTACTCAACCATTTAGCTCAAAGAACACCATATCAGATGGAGTTGTTGAAAAGAAGAAAAGGACTCTTGAAAATTGGGCACAGTCAATATTAATTGATATAGGGTTTGCAAACATATTGACCAAAGTTACTGACTCAATTGAGGATATCTGGGTACAATTGTTATGTTCTCAACAATGGGAAGGGTCAGCTTTGAAAATCTGATGGTGTAAGAGATGGAGGAATCCTCCTGACGCACTCATCTCAAAAGAGAACGCCCATTGATTCCAGCAAGGAACCGGGTCCCCCGTCTACAACAATAGGAACTGAAAAAGGAGCTGTTGGAAAGATGGTTTTTGTATAGAGACATCACTGAATCACTTATGTATCTTACTGCAAGTAGACTAAATATCGTGGTCAGAGTTGGGCTCTATGCAAGGTCTTAGTCAAATCCAAATGATTCTCATCTGAAGGCTGGTGTAAGAATTTTGAGATATCTTAGAGGAACACAGGACCTTGTTCTCTACCATCCTCCAAGTAATGGATAGGAAAAGCTCGCTTGAACTGGGACAGTCTTTGAGTTCCTATCTTGTCTCATGAGGCTCAAGGAAGTAAAATCCAATGGAACTCTGAACAACTGAAGCAGAATATGTATAATTAGCATCCTGGTGTGGTCAAGTGTTGTGGACCAAGCAACAAATTGGAAGAACTTGAGTCCAACTCAAGAGGGCCAAATACAGTGACTACTGAAGATCAAGTTGCAGACATCTTCACTAAAAGCCTTGGGAAGAAAGCATTCTAAGAAAGATCGCCTTGCACTGGGGAATGATAAACCCCAACTGAGAACCCGGTTCCTCATTATTGGTTATGAAAGTCATAGTCAGGTAAAAGCTAGCTAAAGTGTTTTTTGGCTAAGTCTAACATACCTATATACCGTTACAGGTAGACACACATGATGACTAGAGAAGCATATGTTGCAGTGCATGATGAATAAGGGGATAAAACTCACGTGCCAGACCTATCAGGGAACCTAGTTTTCTGATGCAGGTTAGTAGCTTCTTTTTCTTTCATACACAATTTAAAATAGACCAAAACAATGCCATATCATCATCAACGTGACAGTCTCTTTAAAGTCGTGTCTCTTCAGCCAATACGTCACCGGCCAAACATCACTCCGTTTTCTAAACGATACACCTCCCAAGCAAAAGGGTGCTGCCATTTCAGAACCGGCCCCTCATCATAATTAAATCAACATCACAACCATTTCTCCTCCAAACTCAAAATTCCCTGTTTGTCTTCTCTTTTCTCAAATCCACATTCCTTCGAGAATAATCTCATCATGTGCGAAAATCAAGAAACCTTCAGTGTGCTTGACAACACTTTGATTGAGTCCTCACCAGTCAGTATTTCAACAGTGAACTCCTCTCCCAACACAATCACTAGTCCAAACCCTAAAGAAGAGTCTCCTCCACACTCCACTCCCTCTCCTACCCACTCCAAGTCCACTCCTCATCTAAGCAAGTCTGAGAATGTCTGTCCTCCTCCAGTCTCACCGGTCAAACAGAGTCAACAGGGTGAACAGGGTAAACAAGGGAACCTCGTTCAGGAAAATTCAACTCTATCCATGGCTGAGCACTTGAGTGAAAATATGGTGATTAGTCATGAAAAGGCTGAGACCACCATGAAAAGTTGTGACTCTGTAGGTATCACTCCTTCGACTGTTTAAATCGTCATGGAACTACAAGAAAAGGAGGGAATAGAGGATACATTTTCCATTGCGTAAGGGGACTATAGAGGAATATGCAGGATGGTCTGAGCCTCAGAGGGAAGATACCCATCCATCAGAAGAAAAGGGAGCAATTATGCCATTTGAACAACCGACACAAGATGATGCTACTGGGGTCCCAAATGATGAACCTGATCCCTCCTTGGAGGATCTAGGCAAAGAGTCATCTCCCCAGGTCAGTATTGATCCTGCTCTCTCTCCCCATTTCGATGTTGAGCCTTTGAATATGGTGATGCCTAAGACGAATCTTGACAGTGAAGAGAACGCAGATGATTTGGTATATGCTAGTTTTATCAGAACTAGGACTAAACCAGTGGTAACTTCACAGCCACCTCTTAAGCGACCTACTATATGGTTGCAGCAAAACGAGGCTCTAGAGTTTGCTCTCAAGAAGAGTAAAAGGAGTCAGAGAACGAGAAGGTTGGTCAAAGATGGAAAAGTTGTACAAGCAAAGGATGTTCCTATAGTGGATGTGGATGAGAAAACCTAAGAAGAACCTAGTTCCCTGGCCCACAAGTCTTCAAGGAAGAAGCACTCTCTCTCTCTCAATCCGAAAGGCACACCTCTAAGGGTGCTGAGAGTTCTTCCAAGAGTGTTGTTGCTGGTTCTAGTGAAAAGTTGGTAAAATATTCTGGTGACAAAACAGTGAAGGAGCGTGGTGACAAGTCTGATAAGGAAGAAGTAGAAAAATCTGGTGAACATATATAGAACATGTTAGTGGAGAAGGAAAAGTCTGTTAGCAAGTCAGTGAAAAGAAAGAGGGATGAAAGGAAAAGTGAGTGGGTCTCCGAGATCTGAGAAAAGAAAGTTGGTAAATCAGAAGGTGTTGTGGGGCTGCACATTTGCTTCTGACATTCTAGAGAGTGCTGGGATAAGACAATTAGTGGACATTTGTGATTCTCAACAATAGACCAATCTGTTTACAAGTGAGGCTCCTATAGTGTATGAGGATGAGGTACGGAGTTTCTATACCAGCCTCTTCACAATAGATGGTGATCAAATCTGTGTGTTGGTAAATAGGGTGAACATAGTGATGGACTCTGCCTTATTGGGGTGACTTCTGGGTGTTCCTACCGAAGGACTATCATCTGTTCATGGTGCCTGCACACCAAACTTCAGAAATGCCATTGTCAAGGACAAAGCACTACATCATGGGTAACATGTTCATAAGAAGGCACTCCTTCCAGTTTATCAGTTGCTCTTTGAGATGGTTAACAAAGTGTTGCTTCCCCGTGCTGAAAGAAGATCTGTTGCATCCAAAGCTGACCTATTCCTTATGGAAACCTTGGATAATTTTTCCTCCATCAATTTACCTGCCATAATAATTGAGCATATGCAGAAAGTAGAAAACCTTAGCGATGGGAATCCTGGACTGCCTTATGAGTTCCTTCTCACAAAGGTATTTGAGTTTTCAAAGTACCTCCGGGACAGGCCAAAGTGGGCACCAAAAAGCAATCATTTTCAAATACTACTCTGGAGGAGTGTGAGTGTATTGACAAAGTCGGAGGAGTTTGGAAGCACTTTCACAATCTCTCAACTGATAAATTCTCATAATAGTGCCACATAGGAGATCCGGAAGTTGAAGGCTAGGAACGCGATTCTTGAGAGTCAGCTCAGTCAGTTGCAAAAGGTACCTGGTTCTAGTAGTTCTCACAACGTGGAGGTTGCACGCCTAACAAAGGAGAATGATGAACTCAAGAAATAGGTGGAGGACCTGAAAGAAAGACTGCTCAATGAGTAAATGTCCGCGAATGCTCGCATGGATCTTTTCCTCCAAACTCTTGCTTCCTCTTCCAAGCCCCCTTCCTCCAGTGTCCCTTAAAGAATGTCGCTTTAGTGTCCAGTTTCCAGTGTCTATCTTCTTAAGTAATTTTTGGTGATGTTTTGTTGTTTCTGGCAATTGTTTTTGTTTGTTTTAGACTGTGGATGAAAATAATGATTCTGCTCCCGCCTGTAAAAGTCTAATTCTGGTTAATGAAAGTGATTTCCTTTTTGCTATCTATGTTGTTGCTCTTTTGTTTCTGTCTTCTATCATGCTGTGAGCACATATGTGGCATGACTTCTTTATGTTACTAACCTATTGTAGACATATAATTTTTGACCTACGCATTAGAATCACCTCTAATAGTCATTATTTTTAGGATATTTATTTCGGGTTATTTCTATATGATTTTACTTTATTACTATTTTTAAGGCACAAAAATCTAAAAATAATAATAATAATTAATAAGAATATATATATATATATAGTGTCATGTTTTACCTTATTTCTATTTAGTTTAGATTATTAATATTTTATAGCCATATCTTTTGTTTTTACTATGATTTTCACTCTTATTTTTAATTTATATAAAACATGATATATTAAAAAATATATAGTTTCATATTATCATATAGTTTATTTAATTAATTGGAATTAGTTTAGTTTTAATTGAAAAGATTGAGTTTGTTATTTAATGGACTTTAAAAATTGAAAAAGTACAAATTTGAAGCTCCATTTCTACACAAAAGGAAGCCCAAAATCGGATAACCCAAACCAACCCAATACCCGACCGGCCAACCCATTGACCCACCCCATTTTCGATTTTAAACCATAGCCCTTCACCCCCATCTCATCCAATGGTTATTATTCCTCCATACAACCATATAAAAATATAATATCTCCCCACAAACCCTAAACCTAAGAGAGAGAACACCAAATCGGCCCCCACCTTTCCCAGCCTTCTACCCGCCTCCAACTCGCCGATTTTTCGACGAGTTCACTCAACGAGTCCC